CTGAGTTCACTTCTTTATTCAAGCAAGTGTCAAGCAACATAGCAAGGACATTTGGGTTGAGATCTAAAGGATGAATAGGGTTTACTAAAAAGTCAAGGATTAGGGAAGTATTTGAAGAAGGAGCCATAGATAAAAATGCACAAAGGAGCCGGGCGTTGGTGGCGCACGCCTTTAATCCCAGCACTCAGGAGGCAGAAGCAGGCAGATCTCTGTGAGTTCGAGGCCAGCCTGGTCTACAGAGCAAGTGCCAGGATAGGCTCCAAAGCTACACAGAGAAACCCTGTCTCAAAAAACCAAAAAAAAAAAAAAAAGAATGCACAAAGGCCCAGATATTCAGAAATGATGTTCCCATGTGGCCAGAACATAAAGTGAGGGTTAGGAAGGAGGGAAGAGGGATTTGAACAGGAGCAGGGAGACGAGGGACAACACCTGGAACATCTTGAAGGTAATGGGTATGTTTTTTTTTTTAATTTCTCATTTGATCAGTCAAATGACATCGTGAAAGTTTGGAGAGGAAGAAACACAAGTAGAGTCATATATACCAGTCAGTTCAGCTGTCAATCCACAAACAGTTATTGAATGCTGAAGTGAGTTAAATGATAATCCCACCTCCCAACCGCCTCCAAAAAATTGTGCCCCAGAACCTGTGAATGTGACTTCTTTGGAAAGGCAGGGGTTACAGAAAGTTAAGGCTCTCAAGATGAGATCATCATGGATTCAATGGGCCCTAAACCCAATGACAAGTCCCCTCATAAGAGACACCCACCAAACTAGATTTGGTGGCATGTGCCTGTAATCTCAACACTCAGACAGGGGAATTTCCATGAGTTCAAAGTCATCTTGGGCTATATACTAGGCAATAACTGGGGCTACATATAACAAGACAATACCTCAAAAACTGGGTGGACTAGGATATAGCTAGCTCAGTTGGTCAAATACTTGCACAGTGTTCACAAAACCTTGTTAAATCTCTAGTACCACGCAGACCCAGTATGGTCGCACACCTGTAATCCCAGCACGGAGGAGGTAGAGGCAGGAGGTCCCAAACTCCAAAGTCATCTTGCTAAACATCACATTTTAGGCCAGCCCAGCCTACATGAAACCCTGTCTCCAAACAAAACAACACCAAAAGCAAACTAACAACCACATAGAGGGTCGGTAAAGACAGCAGAGAGATTGGATTAGCCATACACAAACTACAGAATGCCAAGTGAAGTGTCCTTCCTTGGGCCCTTTGAAAGGAATGTGGCTCTGGTAACATTTTTTATACTTTAAACCTGGGCCTCAGAACTGTGAGTGAGCAAGTTTCAATTGCTGTAAACCACTGGGCTGTGGTGATTGTTACAAAGTCCTAAGGCACTAGCATGGAGCAGCCATGTGTTATGATTGGCACTGGGCATGCGCTCCACACACACACACACACATGAATGCTCTGGACCTTATCGTTGAACACATTTCATTTGTTCCATAAATATTTACTTAATGCCTACTATATGCCAGTTTCTGTTCTAAAAACTGGGTTACATAGGTGAGCAAAGCCTCCACTTCCATGCAATTAATTCCAGGTTAACAACTCCTTCATTTGTTAATCTCTGAGTGGCCTCATTCTGCATGAGACTCAGCCCTTTCTTTTTCTTTTGTGGTGCTAAAGGTTGAACTCAGAGCCTCCCAAATGCTAGGCAAGCTCTGCCACTAAGCTATTACCCAGTCTTCTTTTTACTTTTCTGCACTTCAAAGCAGTATCTCTCTAAATTTCCCCAGATTGGCCTTGAACTCACACTGTATTTAAGATTGCCTGCCTCAATCTCCTGAGTATCTGGGTGCCTGGCCACCAGGCCCCACTCAAGATTCAGCCTTTCTCACCACCCAATGTGACCAGTCCCTTATATTAAACTCTGTCTTGGGGCTGGAGAGATGAATCAGCAGTTATAAAAGTATACTATTCTTGCAGAAGACCTTCAACTCCCAGCACCTAAGTCAGGTTGCTCAAAACTGCATGCAACTCTAGCTCCAGAGAACCCAACGCCCTCTTCTGACCTCCTCAGGTATCCACACAGTGCACTCACCCACACACAGTGTTCCTATCCACACACAGAGTTCCTACCCACACACAGTGTGCCCACACACACACAGTGTTCCTATCCACACACAGTACACCTACCCACACAGTGTTTCTATCTGCACACAGTGTTCCTATCCACACACAGAGTTCCTACCCACACACAGTGTGCCCACACACACACAGTGTTCCTATCCACACACAGTGCACCTACCCACAGTGCACCTACTCACACACTGTGTGCTTACCCATACACAAGGCACATACTCATATACATAATTTAAAATAAAATGTTTATAAATAAATAAACTGTCTTATTAGAACACGTAATTTGGTTTATTTTCACACAAGATCCTATTCATATAGATGCAGGATGAGGTGCTACATTTGAAACTGTGCTGAGAGAAGATCCATTGAACAGAGAAACCCAGGTGATGCGAAGGGTTTCAAACCGCAGGATAAAGATCTGTAAGAGCACAGGATGATGTGATAGACTTTGAGGAGCCCCTTTTGAGGGCCTTACCCTACCTGGGGAGTGGAGGGGGGATGCCTAGGGGTAGGTGGGATGTAGTGGGGGAGGAGAGGGAGAGGGAGAAGGGATTGACATGTGAAACAAGCTTGTTCCTAATTTGAACTAATAAAATAAAATAAAATAAGACCATATATATATTTTCTGTAAGAGCCAGGCACAGTGGCACATGTCTTTAATCCCAACACTCAGAGGGTAGAGGCAGACAGATCACTGTGAGTTCAAGAGAAACCTGGTCTACACAACAAGTTCTAAGCTACAAAGTGAGACTCTGTCTTAAAGAAAATAAAGGAGATAGAAAGAAAGACAGGAAGGGAGAAGGAAGGAAGGAGAGAGAGACAGACAGACAGAGAAACAGAGAGAGGGAGGGAGGCAGTGAGGGAGGATGGGAGGGAAGGAGGTTTCAGGCGAACATTTCATTTCAGGGAGAAAGACAAGGCTGTGGAGCCATGAATCACATCTGAGTGTATTGTATAGCTCCTGGTGTGATGGCACAGGCCTGCAATCCTAGCCACAAAGGAGAGTGAGTCTCAAGACCAACCTGAGCTGAGTATTTCAACCTGAGTATTGAAACTGTTTCTCAAAATGAAAAATAAAAAGGGATTTTCTATATGATTCTGTGACAGACCACTTGCCAAACATTTGGGAGGTGCTGAATTCAGTTTCCTATAATCCTGGAACTTGGACGGTTGAAGCAGGAGGAGGAGAAGTTCAACACTAACCCCAGCTCTATGACAAGTTCCAGGCCAGCCTGGGTTTCAAGAGACCCTGTCCAAAAAACGTTATATGGATGGGCATATAGTTTAGAGTATGGGTTTGATATAGTAAGAAAAGAAAGGAGCCAAGAAGGTTGTGGGTGGAGTAGGTGGGGACTACCTCTCCACTCAAAGCCATTAAATCAGTGGTTCTTAAGTTGTGGGTCATGACCCCTTTGGGGGACAAACGGCCTTTTCACAGGGGCTACACATCAGATATCCTACATATCAAATATTTACATTACGATCCATAACAGTTGCAAAATTACAGTTATGAAGTAGCAATGAAATCAGATTTTTATGGTTGGGGGTCACCACAACATGAGGAACTGTATTAAAAGGTCGCAGCACTGGGAAGTTTGAGAAACCACTGCTTTCCATGGTTCCCAACTATGACCTCATAGTCTTGCCTCCATTCACTCTTCAGCTGCGGCCCACTCCTTTTCTTGAGCACTCTTAGCTATGTCCAGTTGTGATTTCCTCCCAAAGTCTTCTAACTTGCTGTTCCTTCTGCCAGGAATATTTCTCCCCAGTTAGTTCATCCTCATGTCCTTTGAGTTTTGGAGACTTTGCCTAATCCACCTACTTGAACCGAATATGCTGTAAGCTCTCCTTCCCCCAGCCAAACTTTCACTCCACCACATTGCTTTTGTCAGCACTATGGTGATAAGGATTTCTTAATATTTATTTACATATTCTCAACACTTAGAATTTTATCTGTCACATTGTAGGACTCTTCTAATTTACCAACTCGGGTCACTAATTCACTAGGAGTGTGATCTGATGTACAGTGTGTGTACATGTCTGTGTGTGTCTCTTTCTCTTTCTGTCTCTCTCTCTCTCTCTCTCTCTCTCTCTCGTGTGTGTGTGTGTGTGTGTGTGTGTGTGTGTGTGTGTGTGTGTGTGTGTAAGAGAGAGGGGAGGAAAGAGGGAGGGAGAGAGATGCTGACAATTAAACCCAAGGTTTCATACATGCTAGCCACATACTCTATCACTGAACTGCATCTTCAATCTGATGCACAATTTCAAACAAGAAAAGCAGGCTGTGGAAAAAGACTATGGCCTTGGGGGCAAGAGCAGCAGAAGGTAATGACTTAGGGAAACTTGTAACAATCTAAGCAAGAGATGATAATAGCTTAGGCTACAGTTACAGAGGTGGTCAGCAGAGATAAGAGTTAAGATAGGTTTTGGAGCAAGTGCAGTGGTGGCTCACACCTTTAGTCCCAGCACTCAGAAGGCAGAGGCAGGAGGATCTCTGTAGCTTGAAGCCTTCCTGGTCTACATAGTGAGTTCTAGGACAGCCAGGACTATGTAGACAGTCTCAAACCGATAAATAGAAAGATAGATTTTTGCAGGCAGAAGAGATAAAATTTGGTAATGAAGTAACCTTAGGAATAAAGGAGATGCGTGTCAAAGTGTCTCACAGGATCTTATCTCCAAATAGGGAAGACTATACTGATATCGAAGTCAGAAAAAGGGGCCAGCTTTGGCCCACACATACTAAAACTGGACTGGAACAATACAGAGAATATTAACATAGCTCATGCATGAGGATGAAGCTCAAATTCACAAAGTGTTCTGTATTTTAAAAAAGAAAAACAGGGCGGATGTAGGGTCACACACCTTTAGTTTCAGCACTGGAAAGGCAGTTCTTATAACCTGGAGGGTCAGGAACATATTTTATAGGAATTTATGGCTAATCTACATGACCAGAGACCAGTTTACCCAAAATGGTTTAAGTACTTAAAGTATTCTTAGGAATACTTGCACAAGTGGATCAGTATTTATCCCAAGTATACGAATGGACTTTGGGAGCACATTCCCCATGGAGGGGGATACTCTCTCAGCCTAGACACAATGGGGGAGGGGCTAGTCCCTGTTCCAAATACTATGACAGACTTTGAAGATCCCCATGGAAGACCTCACCCTCCCTGGGGAGCAGAAAGGGGATGGGATAAGAGGTTGGTAGGGGCAGGGGAGGAGGAAAGGGAGAGGGAACTGGGATTGACATGTAAAACAAGTTTGTTTCTAATTTAAATATTAAAAAAGGAAAAAAAGTACTTGCACAAAATGACATAACTATGGGTAAGTGACTTCAAAGTGTATTAATAACTCGGGCTATGAGGTCCATCAGAAGTTCCAGCCTCTTAGGAAGTAAGAGTATTTCCATAACATTGTACTGCTACAAGAGAAGACTAGAGAACTCAGGGGAAGTCACACAGAGCAGCAGTCCTTAGAGATGCGGCATGGGGTAGGATCCTGTCTGGAGTTCATAATAGTTCATAATAGAATGCGGAGATTCACTACTGACCAAGGGAAAAGAAATCAGAAGGGAAATGTACTCATGAAGAAGTAAGGAGTCTGTGCTGCCAGTTGGGATCTTCTGCTGGTCACAATGACCCAGGAACCTGGCATCCTGAAGTGTCTTGTGGGTTACGTAATTACAGTTGTGAGCTGAAGTTCTCTGAAGAACTGTTGACCTTTCTTCCTTATTTATTTATTTATTTATTTACATATTTTGGTGGTGTATGCACATGTGTGCATTTGTGTATATGCATGTGCCCAAGCATGTATGTGTAGAGGCTAAAAAAGGGATTCAGGTGTCCTCTGTCACTTTCTGTCTTATTCTCATGAGACAAGGTCTCTCACTAGTCCTGGAGGAGGCCATTTGATTTTTGGTCTTTGGTTTTTCTTGTTGTTGTTGTTTTAGCTTGGTGAGAAAACTCCAATGATCCTTTTATCTCTGTACCAGTCCCATACCACCAATCCTAGGGTTACTGGTTCATGCAACTCCCCCTGACCTTTCAATTGATTTTTAAAATGTGATTAGATGTTTTGTCTGCACATATATCTGTGCACCATGCCCATGCCTGGGGCTTTTGGAGGCCGGAAAATGGCATTGGATTCCTCAACTCTCCATTTTTGCAAACAATGCTTGCTTGCTGCAGATGTCTCTGTATCTCACAATTTTGGTTTTGTGCCTTTAAAAACTCAACAAATTGGGGGGCATGACAGCTACATGATACTCTGCCTGTGACAGTCCTGCTGGTTGTGACCAAAGGTTCCATATATTTTTGACTTATTTAGGCCTCTTGGTGTTTTTTTCTTCACCTACCCCTTAACATTAAGACTTAAGACTGCTATCCTACTGTGTATTCAGCCTGTTGGTTTAACCTTTAAGAAAACAATATAACAATCAAGGTTACTTGCCTTGGATTTCCCATGTAATCAATCAACTTTTATAACCTAAACTAACGCATAGCTGCAATCTTAAGTTATGCACAGTTTCATGTCCCTGACCCAGATAATATAAGAGTGTTATTTGCTGAAAGTGGCAAGTACAGAGATTGAAAGAAACTCGCTAAAGTTCGAAAGCAACCATTTATGAGTATTGATTGATAAACAATGATGTTTGTTATCTGGGTCAGTTTGGATCATTTGGAGACAGTGATTTAATCCCTTGAAAAACTCTGTTAAAGGTTTCTGTAAAGTATCCCATTCCTTCCCTGGGTGATGCTTTCTATGCTGTTCAATAAATACAGAGCAAAGCCCCTTGTGACAACAGATATGTTCAGACACAACAGACACACAGGGACACATGGAGACAGAACAGACAGACCAACAGGCACAGATACAAACACAGGTGCAGATTCAGATTCATACAACAGGCAGACAGAGGGCAGAAGACACAGGGAGCGTGAACTCACTCTTGGTTAAATGAACTCAAGAAGTGTTTTTATTTCTTTCCTTAATGAGACACGGATGCATTATTGGTAACTTGGAGTTAATCACTAATGCCTATAGTCCTTGGAATCTCTGGTGCTTGGGACCAGCTGAGCCCAAAGAGGCTGCTGTCCAAAGTGTCCCCTCAAGTGTAGGTGAGGGTCCACACAGGCAACAGCTCCTCTTTTTCTTTCTTTCTTTCTTTCTTTCTTTCTTTCTTTCTTTCTTCATCAAGTGTAGGTGAGGGTCCACACAGGCAACAGCTCCTCTTTCTTTTTCTTTCTTTCTTTCTTTCTTTCTTTCTTTCTTTCTTTCTTTCTTTCTTTTGTTGTTGTTGTTGTTGTTGTTGGGGACATTCTCCTGTAGTCCAGGCTGAGAATTTCCTGTGAAGCTGATGCCCTTCAACTTCTGCTCTTGCTGCCTCCAACTCCCAAGTGCTGGGTGGGCGTGTGACAGACACCATTGGCATTCCTATTTCTTCTGAAAGAAAAATCAAAATAGATAAGGGGAAAATACAAAATCCATAAAAGAAAAGTTAAATTTTAAAAAATCTGCATTCCAATAACTGCCTAAAGGGAAAAAATCAAACTAGAAAAATAATTGAAACATTTGTTTCATTTTATTTTGAGACAAATTCTCCAAAGGCTCAGATTGGCCTTAATTAATTTGCTGTGTGACTGAGGATGACTTTGAATTCTTAACCCTCCTTCCTCTGCCTCCCATGTGCTACCCAGCTCAATGTGAAAACTACTAACAGTATCAATGGTTAATCTCTCTAAGAAAAAAGAAATTTATAACACCAACAATCAGGCTGGAGAAATGCCTCAGGAGTTAAGAGCACTGGCTGCTCTTGCAGAGGACCCAGGTTCAATTACCAGCACCCACATGGAAGCTTATAGCTGTCTGTACTTCAGTTTCATGGGATCTGAACCCCTCTTCTGGCCTCTGTGGGCACCAAGGAATGCATATGTGCACAGAAATACATGCAAGCAAAATTCCTATACACATAAAATAAAAAAATAAATCTTCCAAAAAAAACATTTCAAGAAAACAAACTGTGTAAAAGAAAGAAATCAAATAAAAACTATACAGATGGCTAGAAATACAAAAGGGTGCCTGGGTTTAGTCACAGGGAGCACACACCACAACTCTCAAGTGTCATTCATGAATCCTATCACACAAGCAAGGGTCACACAAAGAATATCTATAGAGAGTAGATACTAGTAATGTTTGTCTTAGGTGAGAGGAGCTTGGTGGCTGGGAACAAGGAAGACAGTTTCATTTCCTTTGGGCTTTCACTCTACATCCTTTTGAACCTTTTTAATTTAGATTCACATAAATGTGTTACCTGTTTTTAAATGTAATCTGAAACACTTCAGCAAACAGATCTAAATTGAAGTCGGTGTCACCTGTTTCCAGACTTGCTTGGACCTTGCTGCCCTTCTGCCATGTCACCTCTTGCTTCCTACAGAACTCTGTTAGGCGCTGCTTCCCTAAAGTCTTTCATGGTCACTTTAGTCCCAGCTGAGCCTTTCATCTTCTGAGCACAGGAACTATTTTTATACATCAGGCCCGAAAGGACACCAAAATAAAAATAAGTTGGAACTCCTGAGTCACTCCAAAACTCAACACATTCTTTGAAGTTCTACAGACCACACTCCACAGCCATGAGAATGCAAAAGGAATACCAAGGTAATCTAATTAGATGCAGTGAGGAGTGACCAAAAGTGTCTCTTATTCTCTTTGAGGAGACACAGGGTGGGAAGCAGGTGGGTTGGGGAAATGGTTCAGGGGGAAAGTGCTTGATGCACAAGCAGGAGGACCTGAGTTTGGATCCCAAGAGCCCAGGTAAAACCAGACTGTGGTGTCTATAATCCCAGAAGTCCTACAGAGAGATGGGAGACAGAGAGAAAAGCTGAAAGGCCAGCCAGCTTGTATACACAGCAGCAATCAAGAAGAGACCCTGTTGCAAAGACAGTGGCAGATGATGACCAAAACTCTGCTTGTGTTCTCACCTCTGTCTCTCTCTCTCTCTCAATACACACATACACACTCGTATACTATATTTTACAGAGAGAGAGAGTAGAAAGTGAAGAACAAAAGGAAAGAGAAAATGAAGGGAGTGAAGAGGAGAGGGGAGGAGAAGAGAAGGAGAGAAAAGGAAGGGAGAAGGGAAGGGAAGAGGAAGGAAAGAGGGAAAAGAGGAGATAAAAGAAAGTAAAGAAGAGGAGGGGTGTGGAGAGAAGGGGAAGGGAGAATCAGGGAGGGAAAACTTTATCATTCATTGTCAGCCTCCATCATCTGCATGATTTTTTGAGATAGGGTTTCTCTGTGTAGCCTTGGCTGTCCTAGAACTCACTCTGTAGACCAAGCTGGACTTGAACTCAGAGATCCACCTGCCTCTGCCTCCCGAGTACTGAGACTGAAGGGGTGTGCCACCACCGCCTGGCCATCTGCACGATCTTTGATCTTCCATTCATTTCCCCACCTCTCTCTCCTATACAATGTTTGGCTTTCAACATGAGGTGAAGAGAAGCTTGGCCTGCCTAGATCCCTTTCACAAAAGATTCACTTGGACAATGACAAGAGGCTACAGTAAGGCCGAACTATGTTTTATCACACACATTTGGGATCATTCCTCAAAACAACTGGTTTTATTTCTCCAGTCTATGACACCAGCATGGAAGTAGAGTAATATCCCTACACATTCAAATATTTCCAAATATCACTATGCTTCCCTAATCAGTTGGCCTGAATGCTGTCCATAGTGTTGTTTCCTAACTTTGCTCAAATCACCAACTTCTTGTCCCTGATGTTTGCTTATATCTTTTGTGCTATAGTGGAAATCTGTCACTCTAAAGATAG